AGCTCAGCAGAGGCAGAATTCAGAAGTATGGCTGCATATGCTGCTGAAGTAACTTGGCCAATATGACTATTTGGAGAGCTTGGAGTGAAGATTGAGCTACCTATTGAGCTACTCTGTGATAGTAAGGCTGCAATTCAGATTGCAGCCAACCCAATCTTTCACGAAAGAACAAAGTATATAGATATAGTGTGATGACCCAAAAGGTCATCATTTGCTTTTAAACTGAATTCTGTGTTCCGAGGCCTTAAAAACCTCTTTTAGCATCGCCTCGATTTGCATGCGCAGTCCGGGCGCGTAGCCGGAAAGCTTAAATGAGGAAATCTGTGAAAAATGATAAATTTTGACTATAAAATGAGTTAATTTGACTTCGGTCAACGTTTTGGGTAAACGGACCCGGGTCCGTCAACGTTTTGGGTAAACGGACCCGGACCCATGATTTGACGGTCCCAGAGGATCCGTAGGAAAATATTAGACTTGAGCGTATGCCCGGAATCGAATTCCGAGGTCCCAAGCCTGAGAAATGAATTTTTAAAGGAAATTATTTTCTGAAATTGTTTAAAGGAATTTGAAATGAATTTTGATTTGAACATGTTGGTATCGGGCCCGTATGTTGGTTCCGGCGCCCGGTACAGGTCTTATATATGATTTAAGATAACTCTGTGAAGTTTGGTAAGAAATGGAATCTGTTTGACGTGATTCGGACTGTAAATGCAAAGTTTGATGCTTTAAGAAGTTTTGAAAAATTCCATGGATTTTGGGGTTTAATTCGTTGCCATTGAGGTTATTTTTGCGATTTGATCGCACGGTTAAGTTCGCATGATATTTTTGAGTTAGTACGTATGTTTGGTTTGGAGCCCCGAGGGCTCGGGTGAGTTTCGGAAAGTTTTGGACTAATGAAAAATTGCAGAAACTGCTCTTCTGATGCACAGGCCTCCTGTGCTTCGCGATCGCGAAAGGGAAAATGGGCAGGGGTGGATTTTGTTCAATGCGAACGCGAGGTACGGGACACGAACGCGGAGCACTGGGGGGTTGCTCTACGCGAACGCGACCCATGTCCCACAAACGCGTAGCGTAAATGGGGGGCTAGTCTGGGAAGTAATCGTTCCTCTACGCGAACGCGTGCACAGGCCTGCGAACGCGAAGGTCAGGGGGGCCAACCCTTCGCGAACGCGTAAGAGGACTCACGATCGCGTAAGCCTGAGGAAGGCTGCACTTCGCGATCGCGACAGCGGTCTTGCGAACACGATGAACACTGTCGCCCAGCTCTTTTAAACAGTAACAGAAACGGGAATAACCCATTTTCTCACATCTCCTTCCCCAAAATCAGAACTTAGGCGATTTTGAAGAGTAAAATCAACACCAATTCATAGGTATGTAATCTTAGACTCTTTTTCTTCAATTTCCATTAACACCCATTAGATTTCCAGGCTTAAATCATGTTCTTAAGGGTAGAAAATTAGGGATTTAGGTAGAGTTAGGGCTTTTTGATTAATTGTGATTTAGACCTCGTTTTGGGGTCAAATTTTGAAACTAATTATATGTTCGGGCTCGTGGGTGAATGGGTGACCGAGTTTTGGTCTGAACCTCGTGTTTTGACCAAGTGGGCCCGGGATCAATTTTTGGATTTTTGGTAAGAATGGTTAGAAAGCCATAATTAAGCATTGGAATTGGATTGTTTAGCGTTTATTGAAGTTATGAAGTCGATTATGTATATATACAATTGATTTGGAGCCGAATTCGAAAGGAAAGGCGGTGTTTGAGGATTGAGTTGGCCGTGGAAGTTCGAGGTAAGTGTTTGGTCTAACTTTAGCTTGAGGGATTAGGAGTTGTGTCTATTTTCTACGTGTTAATTGTGGAGTACGACATATAGGCATGGTGACGAGTATCTATACGTCGGTGTCAAGCATGCCCGTGAGTCTTGTGTTATAAATTGTTATGACTCCGTTGTGGTTTATTGTGCCTCACATGTTATTATCATCATTGTTCCCTTGCCGGGATGTTTGGTTGATATTATTGTTCCCTTGCCGGGATATTGTTGAGATATCATTGTTCCCTTGCCGGGATGTTTGTTGATATTATTGTTCCCTTGCCGAGATTCCTTGTGATTATTGTTGGCTTGTAAATGGGAGTGGGTGGTACGCCTACCACAAGATAAAATGAAATGGGAGCGGGTGGTACGCCTACCACGAGATATAATAAAATGGGAGCGGGTGGTACGCCTACCACAAGATATAATAAAATAGGAGCGGGTGGTACGCACCACAAGACATAATGAAATGAGAGCGGGTGGTACGCCTGCCACAAGATACATGAAATGGGAGCGGGTGGTACGCCTACCACGAGATACATGAAATGGGAGCGGGTGGCACGCCTGCCACAAGATATGAGAAATGGGATCGGGTTGCATGCCTGCAACAAGATGTGAAAAGAAAGTGAAATCTGCTTTTGTTTCCTTATTCTTGTTAGTGGTTGGATTTTGATCCCTTTATAATTCTCTTGATATTCTGTCTTTACCTGTTATTCCCCGAAGCATGTTTCCCCCTCCCATCTTTACTTGTTTACTTCTGTATTTCTTTTGCGCTGTATATATATTTGAACTGCACAGGTTTATGTGGTAGTCTGGTCCTAGCCTCGTCACTACCTCGCCAAGGTTAGGCTAGGCACTTACCAGCACATGGGGTCGGTTGTGCTGATGCTACACTCTGCACTCTTTTGTGCAGATCCCAGTGCTGTTGACTTCGGACAGTAGATCAATTGGCTACCTTCAGACCACAAGGAGATCCAAGGTAGACCTGCAGGCGTCCGCAGGCCCTGAAGTCTCCTCTATCTTCTATTCCCTCTTTCATTTTCCTTATTTCAGAAACGGTGTACTGTTATTTCTTCAGACTTTGTGTGTAGTGAATCTTAGACTGTCTGTGACGCTGTGACACCAGTTCTGGGGAGTCGAGGTTCAAACAGTTGTATTAGATATTCATGTTTAGATAGCTTATTGTTCCTTTCTTCCGCTTATGTTAAATCCCGCTGTTTAAATGTTGTTATTATTATTATTATTGAAAATTGCTAATGAATATAAAATGAGTAAAAAGGGTAAATTGTGAAATTAATTGGCTTGCCTAGCTCGTACTAGTAGGCTCCATCACGACTCCCGAGGGTGGGAATCCGGGTCGTGACATATAGATTGCCACTTTGTGAGATAGCACCATATTTGGCCCGCTATTCAACTACAAGAAGTATTTCGAGCTACAGTATCGACCGCATGGGTTTGAGGTCGACCCTGGAAAAAAAAGGGCGAGAAGACCTTTGAACTGGGATGGGGAAGGATTGGGGTCGTTTTTCTTTAGGACTTTAGTCCGTAACAGGGAAAGAATATTACAAGGAGTAATGAAAACTGAACACATATTTACAAAAGAGCAACTAGTTGATCTCCTGACTAAGAGGCTGGGCAAGCTATAACATGACTATCTGCTGAGAAATTTAGGAGTGAAGAACCTGTTCAAGCCATCAACTTGAGGGGCAGTGTTGAAGATGAGTTAGTTGGAAAGCAAGTTGTGGCCGTGGGACCCACATAATATTAAGTTGTTATAATCTATGTAGGTGGTTAGGCGGTTAGAGTAGTTAGACGTTAGTAGAGTATCGTGTATAACTACACTATAATTGTACATAGTTAGATACAATTCAATGAAGAATATGAAATTCATTTTGAGAAATTCTCTCTCTAAAGCTCACATCATCTTCTTCCTTAATTCACTCTCAAACTAAAGCTTCCATCCATGGAAGTTATCAGTTTTTCTCTGCCCAGGTGTAATAAACCATGCCTGCAAACAGAAATACTAGTATGTCACCTCTGACTTTGCTGGTAGCGCTCTTCTTTATCCATACAATCTCCTCATCCCAGCTCCTAATATGGTGTCTTTCTCCTATCCAATGTAGCCCACATAGTTCTGGAGTAATCACATACAAACATAAGATTCTCTATTATCTCCTCAATATTCTTCCCACATAGCACACAATCACTTGTTACTAATATTCCCATTTCCTTAGTTTCTATTGTGGCTAATCGTCGATGCAGAGCCAGCCAAAGTATGAACTGATGCCTTGGCAATGCTTTTGATCCATAATTAGTCTTTTCCGGGGACTCTTCTGGTATAAGGCCTTGTTGCAACATATAGTTGCTTGATGCTGAACTTGCCCTGCTTATAATAACTGTTCAAACAGCAGATGAGTTCTTTTGTATGAACCAGTCCCTAGTATCAAATATTTTTGCAACCAGTCACTTGTTGCAAAAAACATATTCTTACCACAATAGAATTGCATTGAAAGCTCAAAGTATATTGTGTATCAATTTGTTTAACACTATTTAAGTGAAAAACACTTCTTGACACATAAGTTTAATGTGTAAGAAAATAATAAGTATCCCTTCAAATACCAATAAGATATAAATAAGGGTAAAATAGTTAAAAATACCTTCTAATTATTATTTTCTTAAAGGGTGTAGAAAATAAAAACATGATAAATAATTTGAGACGGAGAAAGTAACTTCCTACATAATATTTAGAAACTCCTACATAATATTTAATTTTATTTTTACCGTTGTCGTTTGTAGAGAATCTTTGAGGAGCTGAAATTATTCGTTGTGTACTACTAAGGTTAAAATAGAAAAAAATAATTAATTTTATCTTAAACTTCTAAAATTAATTTTAGAAATGATGACAGAGAATTTGAGACAGAAGAACTAGTATACAAACAATGAAAAAAGAAACAACCTAAAATAGCAAAATACATACTGCTCAGAGAAGCAAGTAACATGGTACGACTAGAAGTCCAAAAGAACGAAGCTTCGGTCTTTCCTTAAAAACTTCAATATATCTCTAATAAAGTACACTCAAACCCTTAAACGACGACGTTAAAAGTGGGGAACGTGAGTTACACGCCCATCGTTGGGGTCCACTTACACGTTAGTATTTGCTAGTAAGGTATTTACCCACTACGCCCCACCAAAATGAAGAAGGGGTTAGGAATCACGATTATAAAAAGCAGCAGCAGCAGCAGCTGCTCACACAAATAGAGAAAGTAAAGCAAACAAAAATTGAATCTACAAAAGCATTAAAGTTAAAAATGATGAACAGCAGCAGATGGAGGAGCATAAGCTGAAGCTTCGTTATTATGTACATTTTCCTCATCATCACTGGCTCTACTGAACTCAGTTTCCCTTTCTCCCCTTCTCTAGGGTTTTGTACAGATTGCAGCAAAACAGTACACGATTCTCAAGAAAAACCCTAACACTACTCTAATACCTTAATTTCACTTCCAGATTTGATATTGAAACCCTAAAACGACATGGACAGATCAAGATCTAAGAGATACTATTACGACCAAGACTACGATTCCGAGAACAACTTACCCAGGACTAAACAGAGGTACAACAACAATCCTCACGGTAATAATCACCATTATGCTCCTACTCACCACCGCCGTTCCCTCACTGGCGGCGGCGGCGGCGGCGGTGGAGGAGGCCGGAAAATGCAGGACCCTTCGTTAATGGTTACTACTAGTTATCGGATTTTGTGCCACGATGTTAAGGCGGGTGGTGTTATTGGGAAATCAGGTAGCATTATTAAGGCGATTAGGCAACATACTGGGGCGTGGGTGAATGTGCATGAACTGATACCGGGAGACGACGAACGGATCATTGAGATTTCGGATACTCGGAGGCGGGACCCGGACGGTAGAATGCCGGCATTTTCGCCAGCTCAGGAAGCGTTGCTGTTGATACATGAGAGGATTTTGGATAGTGATGGAGGGTACAGTGGTGGTGGTGGGGTTGAAGTGGAAGAGGAGTTTAGGATGAGGGGCCTTAGTGGGAATAATCGTGCCGTGACGAGGCTCGTGGTGTCAAGAATGCATGTGGGGTGTTTGCTTGGGAAAGGAGGGAAAATTATTGAGCAAATGAGGATGGAGACTAAGACTCATATTAGAATTTTGCCCAGAGATCACACTTTGCCCCGTTGCGTTTCGATGTCAGAGGAGATTGTTCAGGTTAGAATACCAAATACCTCAGTTTCATACACTGCTCCTGGAGTTTTCTAAAGTCTCCATATGGATTTGTCTTGGTTAATTTGAATTGGACCGTGACTTTGTGCATTGTTGTCGATAAAGTGACCAGAACCATACCATTAATTGAAACACTGATATAGTTGCTGAAACAAAGAAAAAACTAATGACAAAGATAATTTTTTTAAAAATACTCTTACCATTGGGAACTAGAACTTATTTGTATCATTGTTTGCTGGAACTGAAAAAGGTTAGCTGATACTGCATAAGAAGTTGGAGAACGAACATGCATCTTAAGTAGAAATGAACACTAGGTCACTTGTCACTCAGGAAGTTGGAGAACGAACATGTATCTTAAGTAGAAATGAACACTAGTTCAGTTGACAATGAGACTCGATGATACCTGAGTTCAGATAGGATACAAGAATGAAGATGTTCTGAATTGAAATGGATCGGATAACTAATATCTAATGATATTTTAATGAATGGCTAATGTTCTATGCCATAATTTTTGAGCACCTATATTTATTTCCCGAGTTCGGTTAAAATTGGGGCGAGATTGATATTACATGTGACAACCCAAATTGCTTTCTGCTATATTCTGACTAGGGTATCTACAAACAACAAGTACAACTACTACTATGACGCCTCAATCCCAAGCAAGTTGGGGTTGGCTATATGAATCCTCACTATCCATGTCACTCCATTAAGCTCATCTCAGTACAATATTGCTGAGTAGTTCAATCTAAAAATTCCTTGAATGGGTATTCCAGATGAAGTGTTTGATGTCAGGTATTTACCTATTGTTCGGAGGTCAATATGCATGGAAAAATGAGCTTTTATTCAATGATTCAGTTGAGAGACCCACAAGGTGTCAATTAACTCTGATTTGTCACTAATGAATTTTGCTTTAAAAGACATTAGAGCAAATTTACTGATGATTCCCTTCAGGAACTTGTAGGTCCAGGTAATCATGCAGATATCTGCTGAAACTCTTGGGTCATATGTTTAATCATAGCACTTATGTTTTGATGGCTAAACATTTCTATATTGGACCATATCCTGCTTACGTTTCCTCCCGAAGCCATCAAAACATTTGCATATCGCATTGTTTTTCCTCTGTCCAAGTAATGATTTGAAAAAAAATATTTCAAAGAACATGGATACATCAATGCAGTTCATTGCCTTCATATGATTTAAAGGGATCATTTCACTTGCAATTATTTTTGCCTGCCTTATAGTTGATTTGATATAGTTACTGACATTAAACTAATTCTTAGACAATGCTCTTAAAGTTACTTTTGTGATTACAAAGAGGAGATTTCTAATTAAAGAGTGGTAAAATACTGCTGCTACTGATTTATAATCTCTTGTGCGTGATGATTCTGAGCTTTTCATATAAATCATGATATTTGTGTATAACGTTATCCGGACGTTGTGGCAAATGTAATAATGTGGTGGATTTTATTAGATAGCTAATGCATGCCTGAAAAGCAATCATTAGTAGTGCAGCGTAGCGTTATGCATTGTGCATGTCTGAAACCTGTTTGTGTGCAGGTAGTTGGGGAAATGAATGCTGTGAAAAAGGCCATAGAAATTATCTCCTCACGCTTGAGGGAGAGCCAGCATCGTGATCGTAGTCACTTTCCTGGTCGGCTACATTCTCCCGAGCGGTTCGTTCCTCCTGATGACGAATTTATTCCTCACATGAACAATACAACCCGCAGGGCGTCTGAAAATGGGTCTAGTTTTGGATCAAGGCTACTTGCTGGTATGAGTAGTGGTCGAAGCAACAACTATTCCTCATCCTCGTCTGGCTATGCCATTGAATCTGGAAACGCTCCCGGCAATGAGAATGGGCAAGTCATGTATGTTGAAGATCTTGTGTTCCGAATTCTATGTCCAGTTGACAAGGTTGATACTGTTGCTGGGGAATCAGATGGAATTATAGAGTTGCTTCAGAATGAGATTGGTGTGGATGTCAAGATTTTGAATCCTGTTGCTAGCTCAAACGAACAGGTCATAATCATTATGTCTGATGAGGTACTCCTCCTTTTTCTTTTTCACATCACAGTAAGTTATTGCTGCTTTTGGCTGTTAGAGTTTTAATTTTTAGTTTGCTGTATGGGAGAAGAGGATTCCACTAGCTTTCTCCACCCTTAGCCTTGTTTCTGAATTTGTTAACTTTATCAAGCATAGACCTCATAAAATTATCTTTTATAAAATGATGTTTAAAACTTTCTAAAAGATCTCTTGGTTTATATTTGTCTTTTAGGGTCCAGATGATGAGCTGTTTCCTGCTCAGGAAGCTCTTTTGCATATTCAAACCCGCATTGTTGATCTTGTTCCAGAGAAGGAAAATGTTATTACAACTCGTTTAGTTGTGCAAACAGATGAAGTTGAATGCTTGGGAGGAAGAGATGGACCATTATCTGACATGCAGAAAATAACTGGTGCTACTGTCCAAATTCTACCAAAGGAAGAACTTCCACCATGTGTCTCAGGGACTGATGAAATTATACAGGTAATGCCAATCTTCTTTTAATCTTCTAATATGATGGTACCAATGTAGCTAATATAATTCTCGCGTTGTTTAGCTGATATATGCGCCAGAGATGGTGCATAATTGGGCAGTGCATTCCTTTTGCAAGATACATGGGTTGTGCAACGAAGGAATCTTGTATCTGCAGTTTTATCAGCTGCCACTAATTATCCTAAATGTCTTAGTATAGCATAGGTTGCTGTTGTGTAGAAAAGATTTTAAGAGAATTCAGATTATTGGTTGGAGCAGTATAAGAGAATTCAGATTATTGGTTAGAGCAGTAATCTACCTCCCCAGGGTAGGGGCAAGGTTTGCGTACACACTACCCTCCCCAGACCCCACTTGTGGGATTCCACTGGGTTTGTTGTTGTTGTTGTTGGTTAGCAGTACTGGTGTCCAGTCGTTGGACTCATTGTTTTTTCCACGTCCATAATTCTTCAAATCTCCAGATTGTTGGAGAGATAAAAGCAGCTAGAGAAGCACTTGTTGAAGTGACATCGAGGCTTCGGAGTTACACTTATCGGGAGTTCTTTCAAAAGGATATACCCTCACCAGCAGTACCTGCCTCAAGCCCAGCTAGGAGTAATATTGGAGCAGACAAAATTTCCGTCAACAACACATCTCCTTCTCAACAAAACTACAATGTGAATGATGTTCAAACTTCAATCTATCAAAATGCACCAGCCAAACTGATGACACAGCCAGTAAAAGTGAGTTAATTGCCATTCCTTCTTGTTTCCGGATGAATTTGATTTTTCTTATCCCCAGCCTTTGCTGTTACATCCTAATGAGCTTGGAATACTTAATAGCCTGTCAAGTAGCCTTAGTTGTCTCAGGAAATGTCTAATAGCTCCTTATCAAAAAAAGGAAATGTCTAATAGCTGGATTCATAGGTGTTGGATCCTCCTATTATATTCCATTAAAAGGTGTTTTCTCTGTAGGAAACTGGGGCATCTGCCAGTGAAATAGCCAAGCAAAATGAAAATGAGCGTCGTGAAGATATTCCAAGTGGATTGAATAGGTAACAATTCTCTGTTTTATCTTAAACCATGGTAGTTTGCTGTCTTTGAACTTAAATTTCTCTTTTCCAGAATGCATGTACCATTGGTCACTAGAAGTACATTGGAAGTTGTCATACCTCCACACGCAGTGCCCAAACTGATAACAAAATCAAGAAATAAGCTTGCTCAGATTAGTGAGGTCAGTTTGGCTTCTTCATTGCACCCACTTTCCTTAAGAATCACGTTTGCCTACAGCAAGTATCATTGTTAACATTATTTTTATTGCTGATAGTTGTCAGGAGCAAATGTTAAATTGATTGAGGATAGACCTGAGGAAACAGAGAAGATAATACAAATATCAGGCACTCCGGAGCAAGCAGAGAGAGCTCAGAGCCTGCTTCAAGGGTTTATTTTAAGTAGTAAGTATCTTTCTTCTCTGTTCATCTCAACCTTAAACTGGGAGTTAGAGAGAGAACAAAAAGAGTGTGCCAGTACAATGAGACCCCCCCCCCCCCCCCCCAAAAAAAAAAAAAAAAAAAAAGAACAAAAGAGAAAAATAGTGACTAGCATGGCGATGTTCCTTATGTAATCTAATTCTTTGCTTTATTATTCAGCCCTAGAAGATGGCCCCTGAAGAACTGTGACATATGTGGCAAATAATGCTCCAAGCCTGTAGGTGCCTTGCAAATTTTCCTCTGTAGTCCGTTATAGTAGGGTATCCTAGGCCATCGCGAGGTACTGATTAGTAAGAATGTACAATATTAGAACTCAGTGCTAATGTAATTTGTAATGCTTTACTCCCTCAAGTTGTCGTGTTGTATTTTGGAATGTACTATCAACACTCCTGCACTGTACAGGAACGAAGTGTTTTGTGCAAAATCGGGTTCAAATGCTGGTGTTTAATTTTCCCTCAAGCTGTCGTCTTGTAGTTTGGAATGTACTTTCAACACTCTTGCAATGTACAGGAATGGAGTTACGCATTTTGTGCAAAATTGGGTTCATGCTGGTGTTTATTTTTCCGCTAAAAGGAATACCTTTATTTGGGGTTCTTTTCTTTTTATTTTGTACCTGTAAGCGGATATATGATGCGCAGGAGGTGGGGGAGTAAAACTACCTTTATGTTGACATCCCTGTTCTGTGTATACTTGATACAATGGTTTGTGAGCTTCAAACTTGCATAACTTGTTTTGTGGGGGGTGGCTCTTCTGGCCAGGATTGCTAACTCTTCCTCCCTATCTGAACCCTCTTTTGCCACTTGCCACTTTCTTTTCCACCCGTCCTTCCTAAGAATTTCTGCATATGTAGTATGCCAGTCTGGAAGGATGACGAATGCATTTGTTTTCGACATGTAAAATTACACGCCGTATGGATGGGTTGAGGTACATGGTACTTGGCAGCCAAAGAACACGGGTGTGTTTGTATGATGTGAGTCATTTTTCTATGTTTTTCATGACTCTTGTCATATGGAACATTTTCCTCTAGAGATTGGTCCTGATGGAGGTCATAGTTTTGTTAGATAAGGGGCTATGTAAGCCAAGTCAATTGGACAGATTTTATTTGACATGTTAAAACCTGGACTCTTGGAGAAGTTTTGTGCTCTCTGTAGCTATTTTAATTTTTCAAGTCCTTTTATTTTTTATCATCCACTGCTGGAGTGGCTTGCTAGTAAACAGGTTGCTTGGAAATGCATTATTGGGTCTTGCAATGGACTTCGTTCTCTTCCCTTCTTATTTTTTAAATGCATAATTGGGAGATTTTTTTAGCACATTACTGAAGCAGCAGAGTGCTCTGTTGTAGCTCTACCCCCAAACTAGTGAACTACCATATGCAAAAGCAAATTTTGATATGCTTCAAAATTCAAAGTAGTACCTATTTATTTCTTTAATAGATATTGTCAGTTGAACGGAGCAATCTTTATTTAGATTTGATAGAAGTTACAAAGTCTTTATTATGCTTCTTTATATATCGTTACAATTCAATATACACACAATTACATGCCAGCTCTATTTGATCTTTCAGAAGTGGAAGCTGAATATTGCAACCTATAATGTAGAACATGTGCAGAATGTGATTCTTAAGCTCACTATTGGCGGAAGCTATGTCCCGAGGTCTCGGAGACTCCTTTTGACTGAAATAAGATAATGGGTGTGTTTGGTACGAAGGAAAATGTTTTCCATGGAAAATGAGTAATTTTATATAACCTATTTTCCCTTGTTTGGTTGTGAGTGGAAAATTTTTTCCGAAAATATTTTTTAGTGTTTGGTTAGAGAGTAGAAAATATTTTTTAGGAAAATAAAGTTTCACCCCCTTCCCCCAAGTCCCCATATTTTCTGCGCTCCCC